GGACGGGAGGGAGGAAGGAAGGCTCCAGAATAGTGATCCATTAGGACCTAGTATTTTTAGGGTACAGACTGATTTGAGGTCTAAAATTCTCCAAGTCCTCAAATTTTCAGAAGCTGTGTGTCTATGGAAATACAAGCATTCTGCCTCTGTAGAAGTTATAACATTGTCTCTCACAGTCCTGGGTGGTTGAGGAGACATCCAATTTTAGAACTCTAATCTGTCAATAGGTGCATTATAAAACCCTGGATACATCGCGTCACTGTGAAGGGCTTCAGACTGCGGTTTGCAAAAGCAGAATAAATTTTCTTGGGGTTGTACCGTTATGTACACACACACACACACACACACACACACGCCCATTGGCAGACAGGGCCACACCTCACAGCTCTGGAGGAAGCCGCAGACCTCAACTGTACAAGGGCAGCCTGGACTAAGGGAACTTTCCCTGGAACTCGGGAAGATCAGCCTTACAGCGTCGACCTGTCCCCAGGGCGGAGCGCGGGGCAAGCGCGGGTGGCAGGGAGTCGGTGCACAGGGGACTCAGGCCAGGGCTGGGCAGCGGCGGGTCCCGCGAGCTGTAGAGGTCGGTTCCGTGCGCGCTCCCGCCGTCTCGGGGCAGCAGCATCCCCGGCGCCGCTGGCAGCACCGCCGCCTCCCGCCGGCCACGGAACATGGCTGCGCGCCGCGCCACCGTCGCCTGCGCGCTGTTGCTGCTGTCCTCCGCCCTGCTCCGTCGCGGCTGCCGGGCGCGCTTCGCCGCTGAGCCCGACTCGGATGAAGACGGGGAGGAAACGGTGGCGTTCCCCGAGTCGCCCCTGCAGAAACCCACGGTGTTCGTGGCCATCCTCGCCCGCAACGCCGCGCACACGCTGCCTCACTTCCTCGGCTGCCTGGAGCGGCTGGACTACCCCAAGAGCAGGATGGCCATCTGGTGAGCGGGTAGGGGTCCCGGGCCACCGCGGAGGATGAGGGCAGCCTGCTGCGCACAGTCCCTCTCTGCTTGCGTGGGTCCTGTGACTGGGAGAGTGATGGGGTCGGGAGGGAGATGAGAGAAACTATGGGTGAGAGTCCGGTGACCTTGACTTTCCTCAGCCCCTTCCTCTGCCTGGTTTCTATCGGGAGAGAATGTCCAGAGGTGATACACAGCACTTAATTAACTAAGGCAGGAAAGGGGTTCACAGAGACTTGGGAGATGGAAAGTGAGGCACCCCGACTTGCAGGTGCTAGGCTCCTGCTCCCTGCATAACTTGGCTCCTGGTCCTCCCCTGGGTTATCTGAACTCAGGGATGGAGATTTTGAAGCTTTGTTTGGAGTCTTTCCAATCACACCACACTGTGGGCTGGTCTTTCTTGGGAGCTCCAGAAGGTCCCTGCCTGTTCAGCCTCCTGGGACACGTTCTGCTGCAGATGCAAACCCCAGGTGCCCTGGGGTTTATGCTGGGACGCGATGGAGCCACCTTTGGGAGGATAAACAGTTAAGTTTTGTTCAGACTAAAGAATTCTATGCTTGGTCCCTTTGTGTTTGTTGTGGATCAGGAGAGGGAATCAATGGAAGTCTGTCCCTTCCTCCTGTAGACCTCAGTACAGTTCCACACCTTTAAATCCAAGCATTAGTGGTGGAGTTGGGCAGGCAAGCTCTAGATGGTCTGCAGAGAAAGTAAACTTTGGCCAGGGAAGACAAACTGTCCGACTGGTGGGCAAGCTCCCTTATCCCTGAGAATAAAAGCTAGAGCCATCTTGTAACATTTTTTTTTTGAAAGGAGCGATCCCTAGACAAGACATATCCTAAAGCAGAGGTGGGTGGAGGGGGAGGGGGGAATTAATTGGCAGCCTAACAGTACCTGGTAGCTGAGGTACTGAGGTGCGAAAGCAAACAAGTGGCACAGTACAGCTCTGTGGGCACACTGCCTCCCTATACACCCTGCCATACGTGACTGCTCCCACGGAGAAGAGCGTGTTATGTCCAGAGAGAGTGGGAACGTTGGTAAGCCACATTCGCACCGTGTGTGTGTGTGTGTGTGTGTGTGTGTGTGTGTGTGTGTGTGTTAACCGCTTCCACGCCAGAAGCATTTTAAATCTCAAGTCTTGTCCTGCTTTCTTTGCAAAAGAAATCTTCTACATATGGTTTTGGTTTTTATGTGCTATTTAAGTTTTCAAAACCTTACAGTATTTACCATAAGGAGTGAGGAAGGGGGAAAGCGAGTACTAAGACTCACTTAAGGCCACAGAATTAATAAGTGGTGTATTGACAAAAGTAACATAAGGAAAGAAAGTTCGAGGGCGTAGTTCACCGTGGTGAGAAAGGCTTGGCAGAAGAAGTATGAGATCGCTGGTTCCATTGAATCCACAGACAGACTGCAGAGAAATGGATGGTGATGTTCCACTCGCTGTCTCTAGTTTACTCAGCCCGGGCCCCTGTCCATGGAACAGCGCCACCTACAGTCTGGGTAGGTCTTCTCGCTTCCCTGCTGGAAGCAATTTCATAGGCACACCCAGAGAAGTACCGTTCCTTTGTGATTTTAAATCCAATCCAATGCAATCCAGCTGACAGCGAAGATAGACCACCACAAAAGATAAAGCTAAAATCTGACACACAAGCTTGTCTACAGACTGCTTGCTCTTCAAAAGCGAGGAAAGTTAGGAACAAGATATAAGCAAAATTTACAGACGTCTATAAATTACAAATTAGAATATCTGAGAATAGCTTATGTGACTGGGACCACATGTTACGGAATCCATAGACATTGATTTCTTATAAGTATAAGGGAGTTAGAGTAAATGGCTGAAAAAATTCTCCCTAGCTTAAATTCTATATAGGTTTTGTGACATAGTGGGAGCCAACAAGCAGCAATGTTTTATTCTAACTTCCACGGGTGTTCCAGATCACACGAACCCTCATGTTCTGCTTAGATGAGTGTCATTCTGATTCTACACAGACCTCTGTGGCATCCTTCCCCTTATCTTCACTTACAGTTCGTGTCACTGTACTTATCCTTTACGGCCAGCATGAGAAGACTCCCAACACTTGGTGAGGATAGGGACAATCTTTTCGTTAGTCTCTGGACACACTTGGTTCAATCTTAGGAGCCCTGCATAATGCCTTAAATATCAACAGAAATGCCAGTTCTTAGGGCGTCAGAGATATGGCTCAGTAGTTAAGAGCATTTGCTCCTCTTGCAAAGGACTAAACTGTAATTCATTCCCCAGCACAGTGTCAGACACTTGACAGCCACCAGAATCCCCAGGTCCAGGGGATCCAATGCTCCTTTCTGTTCTTTGCAGACACCCACCACATTTGTATGTGGCCACAAATACACAGAAATACAAATACACAGAGATACAGAAAAACAGATACATCTGTTTTAAAAGTCAATTTAAAGTAGTCTCTAGAAGAGGCTTTGTCTGGGACGGTTCTAGGTTATGATGTAGACAGTGATGCAGTGGAATGTGTGGCCATACCAATATTCGACTAGTTGCTTCCTTCGTTTCTTCAACCCAAGAGCTACTCAGCATCCAAGATGCCAAACAGGATGTCTACTCTGCAACTTTAAAAAGTGACTGTGAGCTACCAAGAACATCAAAGCAAGCATTGCTGAGTACACTCCGGGATGCTAGCTTTCACTGAGTGATGTTTCAGTAACTTGGTACAGACTCATTCTTCTCCTTCATCCTCTGTGAGGTCTGGAAGAACATGAGAGAGAATTTCTTTCCTAGATCATTGAAGATTAAGAAATTTCCCCCTAGCTGACGGCATCGTTGAGTTTGGCCTGTGGGTCACATGCAGACTTCCTTTCCATGTGATTATCTTATGCAATGCTCTAGATCTGATCTGTAGTACACACACAGGTGAGGAGGGAACCAACTTCTGCCTTTGGAAAATGCATTTAGTTTATGAGCATCGAGATGTTGGGTTTGGAGAGGTTGATTGAGCATAGGAAAAGTTTTGTTTCATACTACAGACCTCACAGCAGCAAAAAGGGGAAAAAATCATTCTCTTGTCTGATCTCAAACTCAACACAAAATTTGTTTTTCTTCAAAGTATCACAATCTGGGATACGAAACAAGGCAGGAACTTCATTCTGTATGCTCTCAAACTTGCGGTGCAGTGCAGAGGTGCGGAATTGTGAGGCCTTGTGCCATGAGGCTGTGTGCTCTGATGGTTTCTCTTTAATTCACTGATGCCCAGAACAAGCAGCCACAGCAACAGAGGGAAGGCCCACCTCCATTCACTTTCCAGAGCTGTGGTCTGGTCAAGTAAGGCCCATGTGCCAGTGGTGAACACTGGAAAAGGGTACATTTGGCCCAAAAGAAGAAATAACTTAATCTGAAAAAAGACCTTAAGTTTATCGTTCAGATGGCCTGTGGTAATGTGGGGAGAGAGTCTCACGGCAGTAGCAGCTGTGTGACTGTGGAACATTCCAGGCATTTCATCTGGCAGAGGGGTGCAAAGTATTATACTAAACCGAGAACCACATTTATGGTGTTAAATAAAGAGATGAGATTTGTTGACATAAGTATGCAGCCATGGGCTTCTGCTTGTTCTGAGGAACTAGTACGGATATTTTGCTCCTTACTTTATCTCTGCATTGTTTGGGGATTAGCTGGGATTTACTTCCACACTTTAATGGCCAAGCAGCAGCATTCTGGCAGAAGCTCAACTAGATACACTGATGTAAGTGCGTTTGTAAAATGTCCTAAATGGCTATTAGTGATAGTTTTCAGCACCTGCGGTGGAAATGACGTCATAGTTTGCCAGGAGCATGGCATGCACTGTTATCCCTTCAAAGACAAGTTTAAACAGTTCCACAGAAGAAAACTAAAATATTAGTCATTTTAGCAAAAAGCTACCAGCACAACAAAGCTAACGTTTACAAGTCAGTATTCTTAAAGTTTTGTGTGGCGTGCTGGCTAGTCTTATACCAACTTGACACACAAATTGAGAAAATGACTTCATAGGATCTGGTTGTAAGGCATGTTCTTAATTAATGATTGATGGTGGAGGGCCCAGTCCATTGTGGGTGATTCCATCCCTGACCTATGGTCCTGGGTTCTATAAGAAAGCAGGTTGAACAAGCCACAGGAAGCAAGCCAGTAAGCAACACCCCTCCATGTCCTCTGCATCAGCTCCTGTCTCCAAGTTGCTGCCCTGACTTCCTTCAGTGGTGAACAGTGATGTAGAAGTGTAAATCAAACAAACCCCTTCCTCCCCAACTTGCTTTTTGGTCATGCATGGTGTTTCATCGTCGCAATAAGAACTCTAACCAAGACATGTGGTAACAGGCTTATTTCCAGCAACAAATCTAGGAAGATATTCACTATCTCACTTCACATAAGAGGAAACTGAGGCACAGGGAATGTAAATACCTTGTGTAAGGTTGCAAGGCTAGTCTGTGGTGGGGTCAGAACGTGAGCCAGTGACTGATGTACCACAAAAAGTACACACGGCCGACTTAAGAGCAAGAAAGGACCAATTAGTTCTTTTTGCTTCTGTCCAGTTGACCCAGCTTGGGAAGATAAGACCACCATCATTTCTTTCAAATGAGAATTGTCTCTTCCGCTCGAATGATAGGGGTCGGGGGCTCCATGTTTCTCTTCCGCTTGAATGACAGCAGGGCTCCATGGTTCTCTTCCACTTGAATGACAGCAGGGCTTCATGGTTCTCTTTCGCTTGAATGATTCTGGGGCTCCGTGTTTCTCTTCCACTTGAATGACAGCAGGGCTCCATGGTTCTCTTTCACTTGAATGACAGCAGGCCTCCATGGTTCTCTTTCACTTGAATGACAGCAGG